CTCTGCCTCCTCCCTGGGCTGAATGCCTGCCAGGAGGAGCGTTTGGAAAAGAGCAAGGAAGGAAAGGCTATCCAAGGCTGGACAGATGCGGCCAGTTGGCACCAGCCGCTAAATTACCAGCCAATTTCCCGCTCACAACCTGGGGACCTGGGCTTTCAGCTGAGCACATTAAAGGCTGGAGCCCCTTTTAATTGCTGTAGATCTTAACACGTGTCCCTCAACTCTGGTGTCTCTGGCAACCTGGACAAAGCCAGCTCTGAAAATGGGGAAAATGCTGTTACCTGGTTTATTTAGGGTCTTGTTGACGCACTCCGGACCTGGTGCCGGCACGGTTGGTGTGAGAAGATTCAGGCTTTGGGGCTGATTTCTCTCTCATCCCAGCATGGAGAGCAGGAAGGAGCACCATCCCTGTTGTTTCCCACTCCGTGGACACCAGAAGTTGAAGGACAGGGCATGTGTTGGCCAAGGCTGGGGAGCAGCGAGGATGTGGTGACCCTGCGGACGTGCCGCGGGGGCTCGGCTGCTCCGAGAGGCAGGACACGGAGCTGAGAAAGCTGTGAGACCCTTAGCAGGTCCTGTCAGCCTTATTCACGCCTTATCAGATGGGGGAAGCCCAAAGGGCTGCCAGGGAGGTAATTAATCTTGGTCTCCAGCAGAAAAGCTCTTGGAGAGGAGGGGGGAGGTCAAAACGAGCACTGTTTGAGGAGAGATGGGAACTTGGCGAATGCTTGAATGGTTTTTTGCCCTTAATGTGAAGTTCACCCCAGATCCGAAGACACCTTTGTACTTCCCCCCCGATTTAATTTGGATTTTTATTTGGGATCATCAGTTTCTCCTCACCATAAAACACATCATCATCACTGTAAAGCACTTTTATGACACCTTTATCTGATTATCCGAAAGCACTTAATCAGCATTAACTCATTAAGCTTTCCCAGGCTGCGGTGGGAGGAGGAAGGGGTCGGTGCTGGCTTGGAGAGCAGCCCTGGGCACAGGGGTGTTTGGGGCTGCAGCTGGGGCAGAGCCACGAGCATCCCTTGGTACCCAGCTCCACAAGCATTGCCAGAGGGAACTCACTGCTTTTCCTCCGTGGATCAAGGCCGAGGTGGATGGACATAAGTGTTCTTTGGAAGGTTGAATTGCAGAGTCTTTCAGGGATCTATGGAAAAGCACCTCACACAGACTCTCAGCATCCCCAAAGTGATGCTAAGACTGCATCACCTGATCCTTGGGGTGGGATTGCTGTGGTTTACCTGCTTGCCACCTGTGCTAACATAATACAGAGAGTCTCAGAATATAATACCTGAGATCTTGGAATACAATACAGAAAGTCACAGTTCTGACTGTGAAGCAGGACAGACTTGTTTGAACAACCCTCCCAACTCACAGGTTTTATGGCAGCAGAGAAAATGTCCAAGCAAATATCCGTCTGTTCTTTGTCTCAGCAAAGGGCAGATTTCACTCGTGGAGCTGTGGCAGTTTTGCTGAGCCCTTGTAATGCCCCATTTGCCCATCCTGGAGTTGAGGTGCTGAATGTGGCCCTGAGAATAAAGCACCAGAGCATCCCCACCCCACCAGGCTTTGCTGGGTGTCAGTGTCCCACTGCATCCAGCACAGGGGGTACCTGTGCCAGCTGGAGGGAGTGGAGACGTTCCTGACTGAGCAGTGGATGTGAGGTGCTGTTGGCTCCCCTCGGCATGGACCCCCCGGCGTCTCCTCCAGCAGAATGCCAGGACAAGGAGACCCCTGCCCACAGCAGCAGTGCTGGGTTATTCAGGGATGGCCATTCTCCTGGCTTCAGTGGCAAATTAGACCCCTGGAAAGGGGTGGTGGGCCGGGTTGCCCATCTGCTCCTGTTTTTGTCCATCAATTAGGCCTCCTTTCCAGCGCGCTGATTGTGGTTCATTGGTTTCTGCCTCACGTTCCGCGTAGTTTCCAGACACCATCACAGAACAGCTCTGTGCTGTCTCCAGAGAGCTTTTGCCTTTGGACTCGGGCCATCTTTTTTTTCCACCCCTTTTCTTCCCCCCTCCCCACTGTTTTTACCCCCAGGTTCATTCAAACAGCACTCCTTTGGGCCAGCTCGAAGGGTAGACCCTGTTCAACCACCCCAGATGCTGCAGGATGCCCAGGGTGAGCACCAGCACCCGCCCACCCATCATTTCACCTCCTGCTGTGTTCTCAGCTCCAAACCTCTCTGAAGAACATCCCCTGCCTTCTCTACCACCAGAGCAGAGCTTCTTCCCCACATCCATGTCTCCCTGATTGGCAAAACCACACATCCCCAGGAACATTTCCTCCTGATCCACACAGTTCTTCCCTCACCCTGCTCATCTCCATCAATCCTGTCACCTGTGCACAGGGATTTTCACTGCAGATGTGGGGCAGGTCCTTGCCCATGCACAGCTTTGGTGTCACAGCCAAATGGACCATCTGGGTGTCTCGGCTGCTCCAGCTTGCCCAAGTCCTCCACACTTTTGGCCAGAAGAAACCTGATGCTCTGGGCTGTGCAAACGTCCCTCTTCAAATCCAGGGCATCAGGGATGAAGGGACAACACTACTGGGAATGAGACAGGAGAGGGGACCCAGAGCTCAGTGAGGCTGGAGGGCTCATGGTGAGAAGGGATGAAGTGCAGCTGTTTCTGACAGTACTTCAGCGTCATGAGCTTGAAGAGAAAAACTTTTGCATCTGGGCTCAGAGGGGTGGCTGGTTTATTTTTTTACATTTGGTCAAAAAAACTGCCATGCCTAACTGGATAACATGGTGTGGGCTTGGGACTGGATTAGAGGTCCAGCTTTCATGCCCTGGGAGACCCTGCCTGAGTTTAGGGGAAAAAGCCTGGAGGTAGATGGGAAAAAAGCAGATGCTGTTTTTTGGGTGCATGGCTGTGAGCACCCCATCCCACCAACGGTGTGGGGTGCCAGGGACTCCCCTCCCCAGGCAGCCTGTGCTGGGAGCTGCCCCTGGGTGGGCTCAGGGACAAAATATGGAGTTCTCCCACACTGGCCCAGCTGTCACAGCTGGCATGGGGCACCCCAGGGCAGGGCTGGGGCTCAGTAAACTCCTTTGGGGGCTCTGCCCTCCTCAATTCACTGATGCTGGGGGGCTCGGGGGCCATGTAGGGATTTGGGTACCTCTCACCCAAACCTTATACAGAATCAAAGCATCACTTTGCGTCCCTGAATCAACTAATTGATGGTTCTGGTGCAGATAAAAACATAATATAAATTGAAAATACCCACCTTGGCATGCATGTGGGTTAAGTCTGTGTTAGTGTTGTCATGGAGGCATCTCCTTCTTGTTTGAGCTCCTATCCTGGTCTTTCCTTGTCTGTCTGGATGGTGGTGCTGCTCCATTCAATCCAGCCAGTTTTGCCTCCAAGAGGTATTATTATTTAATTCCCTTTGCAGCTGCCTGCAGCTCTCCATGGCCAAGCAGTTCTTTGGCTGATAAAAAAAAACCCAGTTGAGCATCGGTCAGTAAATCAGTGGCAACAGAAGTGCTGAATCATTAAATCTTACACTGTAACCCATTTCAGCTGGGCTTAGAACATATATCCAGGATTGCAGATGGAGTCAACAGGCTTTGAAGGCAAAACCAAAACATAACACCCAAGGGAGAGCAGAGCAATTCCTGGTTTTCCTGGTTGTGGCCAAGATGGCTCCAGCCTGTTTTGGTGCCTGCCTGAATGTAAAAATCCTTTCCCCTGTGAAGAACTGTATATTTTGAATTTGTCCTGAGTTAAAACTTAAAAATAGAACTCTAATTTTTTTTTTTTTTCAGCAGGGATTCTAAGTCAGAGCCAGCTCTGAGGGGAATCATGCAAATTCAGAGCTGCTTTCTGAGCCCTGGCTGCACCTTTGGGTCAAGCAGGTCTAAGCATGAACCACCACTTAGTGTAATCCTGCCTTGCCAACACAGAGAAGTGTGACTCTTGTCCCACAGAGCAGGTGGGATGCCCAGACTGGGCATAGACTTCCTACCAGCACTCATCCTCCCCATTCCACATCCCATAAATGCTGGCATCTTATTTGGGGTGGTGGGAAAGAGAGAAGGAAAACTCAGCACAGGGACACAGCACCTGCTCTTTCAGTACTCACAGTCTGCTTTTTTTCTCCCTCCTTACCAGATGAAGAGAGAAGTGAGTTTCTAGAAGATGTTGGGCAAAAGATCCCAGAGCAATTCAGTCCTGGGGAATCTGTTGGATCCAGGTATTGTTCATAGCTACTTACACTCTAGTTTTAGCATCTTGCCAGTAAGATTAAAGTGGTGCCAACCTTCAGCAACCTACAAGGAGATGATGATGCTCTCAGAGCATCACCTGGAGCTCTGTCCTGCCACATGGCTCTTGTCCCATAGCCTGACCTTCAGGAGGAGTCCCTGCAGAGACACCTTCCCCCCAGAGCAAACTGCCCAGTATAGAGCTGACTGGTTCCTCTCAGGGCTCAAACATCTCCCATCCACACCACCCTCCTCAGGTTTTCTCTTTCCCCCATGTGCAGTGAGCCTAAACCCACCCAAACCTGCTGCTTGTTTCCAGACCAGCCTCACAATGCGGTGAGTGTCATCATCTCACCAGCTGCAACATCACCTTCCCATCCAGAGGTTGGAAAGCAGCATCCCCCATGGAAAAGTTGCTCCACTTTTATCCCAGACCAGGTTGTTTCTTGCTTTCCTGCTTGTTCCCACGTGAAGTGACCCTCTGCTTCCCTCGTTTCTGAGGCAGCAAAGTAGAACCTCCCTGGACAGAACGCAGCATGTGCATCCAGCCTTATCCTTGTGGTGGCCCAATCCTGCTGGCACAGAGCGCAGCCAAGGCATCTCCCCAGCTGCCACAGGACCCTCTGCCCAGGCACATTCCCTCTGCTGTCACCTTGCACAGAGCTGTTGTCTGCTCTGAGGGGTCAGTGGTGAAGGAAAGGTCTCTGTCCTGCCCTGGTCCCTCCCAGGGGGTTTGATCAAACCTGGGTAAGGAGATCTCACTCCTCACAGCAGCAACTTTTTATTGACCGAGCCTAATTCTTGAAGAGTTTTCACAGTATTTCAGAAAGGGAAAGAGCTGGAGGCTCCATGGGCTCCTGTGAGGACCTTCCTCCGGGTTAGTACTGCAGCTCCTCAGGGACCTGCAACAACTGGGTGTTCATATTAAACCCTAAAATCAGAGAGGCAAACAGATGAGTCTATAGACAAATGGATGTTGGATGAAGAGAGAAGATAAACAGAAAGATGGAGAGCTGGTGGGAGGAATGGGAAGGTACACACAGGAAGAGGGAAAATAAACACAAGGGATGGAGGGAGGAATGGCAGGCAGGGAAGACCATGGGATGACTTGTGCAGGCAGACAGTTGGCTGATGGATTCAATAGACAAGAGGCACATCAGTGCATTATTTCCTCCTCTTTCTCTTCTCTGGAGCAGAGGAGAGGATGGCCAGCCCTGGGGCCATGCAGGGGAGCCCGGCAGCAGCCAGGGATATCAGGCAGCAGCAGGGCTCTGCCATCCTGCCCGAGGACAGGCAGGGGCCGGGGTCCCACTGCCCCGTGGGGTGCCCGGCCGGCCCGAGCGTCTGTTCCCTTTGAAGCGGGTGACTCGCGGAGCCGCCGGCAGAGAGGATTTGGCAGGTCGGCACTTCTGCTCCGCGGCAGGCCCCATGACAAGAGGATTGGCTTCCCTCCCTCCAGCACATGGCTCTCCCTCCCCTCCGCACTCCCCGTTGAACGGCAGCCCAGCCGGCAAGCCCCGACAATCTCCCGGCCCCCTCAGCCCAACCTCATTGTCCCCGGGAGATGCCTCCTTCCCCCTCCCCACCTCTCCCTTCTCTTCCTGGCAAATTCTCCCCCTCCTCCTGGATCCAGCCGCTCTCATAATAGCATCCTTTTCATGGAGACAAATTGTCCAGCCGGGGGCTGCACCTGAGGGCTTTCGCCCTTTAACAAATAGCCTTTTAATTTTCTGCCAGAAGGGCATGGAAAGGGGGGGAAGAGGGAAAGGGGGGGGTCTGGAGAGGGGGTTGCACAGAGGAGAGAGAATCAATCAGACATCCATCTTCATCATTGCTGCCAAGGGACCATTTGCACTGGCTGGATGCCCCTGAGGGAAGGTGGGGTGAAAAAGAGAAGAGGTTGGGGTGAGGGGGAGGCAGGAGGCAGTGAGGGAGGGGGATCACAGAGCTGTGCCGTTCCTGAAATCCACATGGAATGGTTGCCCTCCAGAAAAACAGACAGCAACCCTTAGAGCCCAGGGAAGGGAGCTGAGGGTTGTTTTCCAGTTCTTACTCTGCTCTCCAAAGAGTTTGGGTCAAATCCAAAAGAGTCAGTAGCCCTGGCACAGAGCAAAGCAGCAGCCAAGGAGAGCCAGCTCAGGCCATGGGAGATCCCCATCCCTGTCCCCCTGGAAGTGGGGAACTCCAAGTGAGATGAAGAACAAAGAAACACGGGAAGAAGCTCCATCAGCACCTTCTCCTCTCTGTTTTCACAGACATCATACACAGCTTCTACCACAAGGCAGGGGAGCCAGAAGAGCTTGAGATTTTCCTCTCCCTGGTGCCTGGGCAGCAAGGAGGGAGCCAGCAGGTGAAATCACCGAATCACTTTCCTCCAGATTCTCTCCTGCAAAGGGATATCTCACCACAGTGTCAGCTTTAGCTGGAATCTGTCGCCTTTCCCACCAAAAAATAAGCAAAGAGGTTAATTAGATGTTTGCAATCCAATTTACGTGCTGTTTGTGAAACCAGCATTTCAGCTGTAACCCAGCCTGGGAGCCCCCGTGCCCTCGCTCTTTTGCTAAATTTATTTCACAGCTTTGCAGAACTGGCTCAGCCGGGTCAGAACTCTTCCATTATCATTTTATCGCTGCCTCTTACTCTGTAATTACAAGCTGCTTCCCTCACCCCCTCCCTCCTCTTCTTCCCCAGCCCCCTCCAAGCACAAGGTGGGAGATGCTGGTCTTGCTTTAAGCTCCTTCTACGATTTGTCTCACCCACCGAGGCCTGGGAACAGTTTGGCCCTGGTTGCAGCAGATAAGCAAGGGAAGGTGGCTGGGAGAGGGGGGGGGATGCTGTTCTACAATCCCCACTCCCCAAGGATTAAAATATTCAGATGCACCGATGAATAGCAATGAGTGCTGGAAATGAAGGCCTGGAAACTCAGCTTTGGAGAGGTTGGAGTCAATCTGGCAGGAAGGACATGAGCTGCAGAGTCCTGGAAGTCTGTGGCACATCCCTTCGTGTGTCCTGGGCTGACCTCATCTCTTTCCAGACACTGACTGGGAGGGTGCTGGTTGGCATGGGCCAAAATGGTGCCAGGATAGACACACAGAGGTGGCCAGTACTCTTACCTGTGCCCTGTGGAAGTGTGCAGGAGGGATTTGGGTGCCCTGTTGGCCAACATTCCCAGCAAGCTCCAGTGAGAGGGAAAGGTCCTCGAGGAGCATCTCAAATGCACATCCCACAGAGCCAGGAACCAGCATCTCCCTGGGCTTCCAGCTCCTCCTCTGTGCACATAGGACAGTCCCAGGGCTGGCACTGCCACCAGAGAACACTCCCCAGCCAGCACAGTGGCTCATTGCTGGGCTCCACTTGTAGATCCAGGAAATGTGGAGCAGCAGCAGGATCCCCACACCAAGTACCCTCTTTCCTACCCCCTCCCCTTACATTATAATCCATCCCCTTCCCAAAGCACCAGCCTCCTTCACCTACAGTAAGGGTAAGGGGCCACATCCTCACCAGGGAAGGACCATGTCCTTCTGCCCAAGCTCAGCCTCAAGGACCCTTCCTACCAAAGTTTAGGGAGAGGAAGTAACAAGCAGAGGGATGCCAACAGCTCTGGGGCTCTGTAACATCTTGACCATGGGGACAAGTCACCACAGGACAAAAAAAATGAGTTTGGGATAGAGATGGCACTATTTCTGCCCTGGGAGAAAGAGATGCTGCCTTGCTGTGTGGACAGGGCCTGGGTGCAGCTGGACACGGCCAGCAGTGCCCTGCTTTGTTGCAAAATTTGGCTTCACTTCAGTCACCTGTGAGCACAAACCAGACAAGAACTCGCAGGCAGCATGAATACACACACACAGCCAGCTCAATTGCCCATGAGAAGGTTCATGTAATTAACAGGCAGCCAGCTTTTCTTTCTTGTGGCAAAGAAAGGATGGGGAAGGGGGTATATTTATCTATGTTCCTCCCCTGCAAGCAGGTTCCTACAGGACTGTTCTCAGGAGCAGGGACCACAACACAGTCTGTGACCAGGACCCCAGGGGCACGGAGGGATGGACCACAGGCCCCTTTTCCCAGCCCTGATGCCCCTTCATGCACAAAGTGGGTCCGTCCCCTCCTTGGAAGAATTCAGAAAGCCTTTTCCCTGTTAAATGCACAGTGTAGGGAGCCCCTCTTTTCTGGAAATGGCATAAGGATGGGCCTTGCTGCCATGCCATGGTCTGTGCAGCCCCCACCTGGGATCCCCATGAGATCACTGGGGACAGTATTTAACACTTGTGTCCATCACACCCCCACACCACAAACACTCCAGTTCCCAACCCTGGAGCACGTCTGGCTCTGCCTGTCCCCTTCAACCCTCATGTGCCACGGTGTCCACGGACACACAGCCAGCACCAAGCACAAAGACACCTCGATCCCTCCCTAAAACAAAGATCAAAGCCCCTGCTTGGAGCTGAGGACACCACCCCCTCCCTCCGCTGCTGGAGGAACATTAAAACCCCATTAACCTGGGGTTGTTATTAATCATGCAACATTGCCCAGTGGGGACAGCCCTGACGTGTGAGTGCCCAGGCTCTCACCAGCTCCCCCAGCCCGGCTCCAGGTGACACAGGCACGGAGAAGGTGGGATTGGTTTGTAACTGTGCGAGCGCTCCAGCTCCAGATAATGAATTTCCTCCACGAGGCAAAGGAGGAAAGAGCTTCGCTGAGATTGGAAATAATCACCCCGAGGCAAGGCAGGGACTGGACTCCAGACGCCTCTCACCCTGCGGATGATAATCCCCTTTGTGACTGGGTTAAGGGCAAGGCGAGGAAACCACGATTTATCATCTGCTTGAACCACATCCATCCTCTGGAAGAAGATTTCCAGCGGTGCTGCAGAGCACGCCCACGGAGAGGCAGAGATCCCAGGCCAAAATCAACCCCGCAGCTCAGGAGATGTTCACTTTGGAGACCTCCTGAGGACACAGAGGGGACATCTGGGGCACAGGCCGGACAGATTAATGCCAGGAGAGCAAAGCCTCTGCCTGTATGTACGTATGTAGGCTGAAGCCCCATCAAGCCCTCACAGCTCCGTGATATTAAAGCTTTCCCCTCATGCATAGAAGCAAGCAGGGGGGCTAATTGCTTCTTATGACACTATAATGGTAGGACTATTTACACTAGATTAAAATCCAATTCATAATGAGGTATAATAACTTTGCAAATGCCAGGATTTGTCAAAGGGTGAGGAGCGCCACCGAGACAGAGCTGAGCAGCTTCAGACTTGGGGTCCGAGCCCTGGTGTGGGAGGAAGGGGCTTTTGGCAGAGGGTTGGTGGGGTTTTGTTGACTTCTCCCTCTTTGGTTGCTTCTTCCACAGGTTAAGCAGATAGAGTGTTGAAAGGCAGTGTGGAGACCAGAACAGCCCTGGAATAGCTTTACAGCCAAGAGGGCAAGGGGGCTGCCCAGTGTCTGCACAGCACCTGGGGAAGGTGAACTATGTGTGGACAAGAGGTTGGGCCACCCACAGAACTGCCTGGGCTTTACCTGCCATGTCAGGAACAGAGCTCCTTCCCCAGGGAAGTTTGTTCCAGATGCAGATAAACCAAAATCCTCCGGTCACATTGAATCCCATCAGGTACCAGGAGTGCTGAGGCGGCCTCCAGACCGGGATGTGACACTCCTGTAGAAAATCTCACTGGATGTCACACATTATGTCACATAATCAGACCCCCAAGAAACTCATCCTTCCTACCCAGTGCCATAGTGGCCCTTCCCACTCACCCCAGGCCCATTCAGCCACCCCCACCAAGGACATGAGCAGAGACACACACCCAGCACCTCCATCTCCCCTCACGTTTGTGGGGAGGGGGGATTTTTGTCCCACAGGAAAGCAGTGGCTGAGATTGAATCCAGTTTGGATTGAATCCAGTTTGGATTTGCTCCCTGCCTCCATCACATGTTTACGGATGTGACCTTGAATGAGCCCAGCAACACATCACTCCTGACGCCTTCAAAAGAGGTATTTATTTATTCCCTGCCAATGACATGGACTGATGGTGCCCTCTGAATTTCAAATAGGACTCGGCTCTGTTTTGATAGTCTGGTTGGCTGTGCTGGAAAACAGACAGAGAGGAAAGAGCCCAACAAGCCTCACTTGGAAAGGGAGGATTGCTAACCAGATCCCAGGGCTCTGTGAGATTCCTGGATCCCGCTGAGGGGGCTCAGTGTGGTGCTGGCACATTGCACAGGGGATTTAAGCCATGTATCTCAGGTCTCCAGTGGTCACCAAGGTTCTCTGGTGGACACCAGCACTAGGGAGTGCTCCAAAGGACTGTCATCATCAGAGGGGGAACTACAGAAAACAACAAGCCCCAGGCTTGGTGGAGCTGGAGGGGGGGCTCAGGTTAAGCGTGAGCCCCGATATGCCAATGTGAGTCACTCCCCCAGTGTCGCCAGACTTTCCAAGCCTTCTCACATCTCCACATCTGTTCATGTTCAGAACCAACTGTCTGCTAAAAAAAGCTGATAGAAAACCCTCCAGAAAACTAGCTCTTCAGCACACAGTGCTGTGAATTTGTCAGTCATCCTGCTGGGCACTCAGTACCCCCAGCTCATGGCTGCTGGGCCACACGCATTAAGGACAAGGGGAGCTGGAAGTAATATTTGATTTCCTAAAGGGCAAGACCCTCTTCTCTATATAAACTCTTCCTCAACAGGATCACTGAAGCAGCTACTTCATGCACAGGAACACAGGAGGAGTGTTTAGTTAAAAAATAGCAAAAATCTCAACACTCTGTGCTCGGAAGAAAATCACCTGAGCCTCCAAAACAGCAAAGACAAATTGAATTGTGCCAAACTCACATTCTCAAGAGTAAAGGGCTCTTCCTGGCTGAGGAAGCACTCTCCCAAACTGAGGATGTCCCATTATCAGGGCAGAACAAGGCCCATCCCATCCTCCCCAAGCAATGTGAGATCTGGGACAGCAGCTGGTGGCAGCCCGAAATCCATGTCCTGCCTCATCTCCACGGTATGGATGCACCAAAGCAGAAACGTTCTTACTCTTGGGGCCAGGGGTTTTCCTGGCATGCCAGTGATATCTAGGGGTGTGATTTGGTGGGAATAAAGATACCTGACCTCAGGCAGGCTTTGAAACTTTTGGCTAGACTGAAGCTATTTGTCCAGGGCAGCTCCTGGCAGTGGCAGAGCCAAGAGAGTTCTGGCAGCCACAGGACAGGCTGAGGAACCTTCTCTCCTTGGAGGGCATGAACTGACCACAAGAGCCAGGGCTCTGCGGGGGTACGAGGTGTGTGGGATGAGGGTGGGGGAGTATCTAACACATCTGTCACCAGCACCATGTGACAGACACCCCAACAGACCCTGCCTCGTGACGGGGCTGTCAGGTTTCAAGGAGTATCAAGTGCCTCCTCAAAGCAGAGCTGCTCCTCACACTCTTTTACTCCTTCCTGAGAGGAGGCAGAAGGTGCTCGTAAAGCCAGCCTCAAGCAGAACACATGGATGTTGCATGTATCAATATGTTCAAGCTGTAAAGGAGGAGATGTCGAGGAACCCGGCACCTCCAGCCTGACAGATGGAACGGGGCCCAGGAACACCTCTGACCACATGGCACCTCCTAACACCACCCCAGGAGGGGACGAGGCTTCTTGGCCAGGGTCTGAACCAATTATCTTCTGGCAAACGTGATGTCCTTTCGATTCACCAGCATTGAAAAGGAAAGCACGATTTCCCCCATTCTGGTTGTGTTTGTGAGAGGGAGAGCGAGCTGGAGGAGGTGGCAGAGCAGAAAGGGATTGAGAGGATGGCACTGCATCCCAATTGGAAAGAGCCAGTGGCCACTGCCCAAGTGAAATTCCAACTTTATGACATAATGGGCTTTTTCTAACCAGCGCTTGCTATTAACTTCAGCACTGGCTTAAACCCCTTGGCCTCAGGCACAAGCAAAGCAGAGCTCATACACTGTAAATGTTAATACTGCTTTAGCACTGTAATAAGCTAAAAGGTGGATGCAAGATCTGGCACATTAATTCCTTTTTTCACCTTTTTAACACATTTCAGGGTAATATGAATAATAAATATTTGAGCTCATGAAGGTTAACGGATGGATAACCCTGGAGACTGGGACTCCCTGGGTAGGAAGGCAGCAGCTCCCTTCCATATGTTGGCGTCTCCAGCAGAGATCCAGGGAATTTGCCTCCTCCTGAGAAGCTGGAGGTGCTTCTTGGCAGGGAAATGTCTGACATAAAAACTTGTTGCCTGGCATACTTGTTTACACTTCAAATGTTTGGGCTGGGGAATGAGTAAAGGCAGATGTTTCCAAGCATCACAGGGCAAAGCTATGGAGAGAGAGGAGAACCTCCTCCATCCCAGCACGAG